GATTTGCATGCGATTGTGTGGATGATGAATCTGGAAAGTGTCTGCGCAAAGATCGACTTCTCTTTACGTGTTGTCATCTTTCTGGGGTAGGCAGAAGAGACTCAAACTTATTAGATCGGTTCGACTTGGTGTCAGGCCGACCTCACAGAACGTAGTCAGTGCTGCCTTGTCTGCCTTGACAGACATGTTAAGCTCAAATATGTGACCCTTATACGGTACCCTCTCAGAAGTCTCGTTGCCATCCGAAGTGGCATCGTAATCGGCATCGTAGTCGACAATTCTAATGAGAACTACAAGCCCTAGCAACGAGGTACAGCCCTTCTAAGTGGGAAGTTGACACAACTCTTTTGGCCAATTTTCTGTTCAACGATTGTTCCGTATCTTCACAACTCACTCTTACATCGCATAGCCAGTTTTATTATTTTCATCAATCTGTACCTTAGTTTATTGCAATATCTCCAAAGTGTGAGTCTAGTAGGCCGACTAAGCTGCCGGTGAAATGTCGGAGAATGTAAAAAATTTGCAGTTGAACACAAGAAATTATCATGTCTACCATTTCATAGGATACAGAACTGGCCATCTTCTTCGAAGTCTGGCTGACGTCAAAGCCAACTTGGGAAAAATTAGTCAAAAGAAATGTAATGTTAACACGACAAGAAGCCCACGCAGTCCTAATATTCATGATACTTTTCAACATGGTACTGCTGACATGGAAATTAGCATGACTTCTATTGCTTCTTCGAGGTTTGGCTGAGGTCAGGGCCAAATTGTCAAAAAGTGGTCAACCAACTGTATCTACGATGTGACAGAGAGACCTCAAGCTGATTATCGATGATAATTTCCAGCATCGGAATATTGACTTGGAAATTAACATGACTTCTGTTGCAGATGATACAGGACGAGATCTGTTCCTGAAGACTTCCGATGATGGTAGACGCATGGATGCGATGCTCATATCAAAATACAGTTTTTCTATCATGTCTTCTGACCCTCAGAGTCTTCAACAAACCGGCTTCGAGTCCAATGGGTTCGCGCAGCTACCTTTTTCACCACGAAACATGTGATTATGGCAAAATTTGACCTTCATGCGTAGGCAAGAATGTCCGTTCTATTTGGCTCTCATCTCACACGACCCCAAAGTATTTTGTTTGCGTAGTCTGCCTCTCTTAGAGCTAACAGAGTAGCCTAAAAAAGTCTGGATTAAAGACTGAAAGTGGAGTTTTTCCCATGATTCTGTGAGTAGGTCGGACAATGCCATCCAAGTTAACTTAAGGCCAAGCTGCTTCAGAACGACGCGAATCTGGCATCGTCTTCAGGTGAGATGAACCGACAATTCTCTTTAGAATGCAATTTCATACGATATCAAAATCCCTTCAACAATGCTATCTTAACAGCTCGAAACCCTCGTATTTACAAGTTTACTTTGTCATGCCAGTGTAACTGCATGTATGTCTTATTTAGACTCCCACAAAGTGTGTGATTTGTGCGAAAGCTGACTTGTCGTGAAGATCACATGTTTACTGTCAACCAAAAGGGGGCTAACGTGTCTTCATTTTCTGCATATGACCCAGACTAGAGTCCCGTTGTGGCTGTTGGTGTGGGGATGAGGGGAACTCGAAAGTGCCATCAACTCGGAGCTAGAAAAGCCATGAGACGGCAGAGCTAAGTAAAATTTGTAACAATATGAACACAACAACTTGATAATCATTGCGTAAATAGCCCTAAGCGATAAAGACCAAGTAATGTAGATGGAAGAAAGCTCGGTTTCGAGGTATCCTTTGGCAATTTGTTGTGACAGCACTTTTTATTTCCAAGTAAAAGTGGGTTGGAAAGGATTCGTGAATTGATTTCACCTGAAATCGAAAAAGCATTGTCTTGAAATGAAGGGAAGACTGTCACATTTTGCGAAGACTTTGCGCGATTTTGCTGAATCTATCCTGTCGTGAGAGACATCGTCAAAGTGAGAAACCACTTTAACCATGTCCAACATGGCGTGACAAGCGCCATCTCGGCACTGGTTGATTGAGGTCAGAAGAGGGTGAAGTGACTCGTTTGCAGTTCTTCCTCCTCCGTTGCGACCATTCTGCCAAGGTCTTCCGACCAACCCCTTCTTCAAACTGAAAAGTACTGCCACTTTGGGCCAACTAAGTTATCCGATCACAATCATACACATTCAACTGTCATGTCCAAGATTACAAGTCACATGACATGTTTGACTCGTCCACTGCTGTCTCCATGAGTGGGTTCTCACATCTCTTGTTGTACGTTGTCGGACGATTATTGTTTTGAGTCAATTACGACAGAGTCTAGTCGAGTTTAGTTGAATTGAGTTGAGCTGAGTTAAGCTGATTTGGGTTGAGTGGGGTTGGGAAGTGAGCACATAAATCGGCCGACCTGGAGGCCGAAAGGTCTTCTGAGCTCGAGTCCCGCACTGCCAGTTCGCAATTGCAGTCCATCCGGTAGCAAGGTGTAGGGCAAACCGTCCCATCGGCTGGTTGTTATGGTGGAAAGGGAGACGACTCATGTTCTGTGAAGGCTTCGCGACGGGAATATGTGGAGAAAGCCGACCTTTGAAGGCAAGAAGACAGCTGCTACTACATTCACTTTATGTTGATGCATCAATCTTCGCCCATCTGCAAGAATGTGTAGTCGACGAAATAGAGCCATCCTCCGCAGGATCAGAAAATAGGGATATTATCGAAGCCTACTTATATCGGAAATAAGTAACGTTGTCGATTGCAATGGAAAACACATGCTTGTCTAATCGACAATGCCACAATAACAACGCGATTCGAGTGAGTCCTGGCTTGCCTTGAGCGCCATGTCTGTCATGTGATTGTATTTTGGATTGGTAAAAGTCGACACGATACCCACGACCCGGGTTCGAATCCCACAGCGGCGCCAATGTGACCAGCTCCATTGGGTTCGAGACCTGATTGCATTGTTGATGCATTAGGCTGTTGGAAGACGGGGAAATTTGTTTTTTTTTAAAAATTGCGACCTGAGGCCTCTTCATGTGATTGTGGAGAAGATTTAACTATGATTCCTTAAGCGATGTTGGCCAAGTTCTTATTCAAGAATCACTGATAGCAGCTACTACACCCACTTCTCTTTCATACATCAACCAACCTTCACCCAAACCAATCATGGAATGCTTCTTTAATGAGTGCCATTGCAGCCGGACATATTTATTTCTTTGCTTGCTGTGCTCGTTCTGTTTTTGCCAAACTGATGCTTTTGCGGTCTGACGCAGTCTGTCGTAGTGGGACAAGTAAGAGCAAAACGGTGAATAAATAATGCCACCTCGATTCACCATTTTCCCGCTTCCGGTCAGGCCAATTGAGGCATTTTTCCCAACCAATTTCCGCTTTAAAATGCCAAATTTAAGTGTCCCAATTCCCACTGACCATTGGAGCAGATTTGTTCTGAGAAGAGGCATTTACTCGCAGGTCGGACGACCGGATGGATCACTGTCGCCCAGACGAGTCAATCGGCGACAAGTCCGAACTGAATCAAACGGATAGGGCGGTAACCATGGCCTATTTCTGTGTATCCCATTGGCCTGTATGATTGTGCCACGAGTGAGAGGCAGAAAAGCTGCTCCAAAAGGACAACCGGCTGGCAAAACTGGCTGCACCACAGCCAAGTGGCGAGTCAATTTGGAGGGTTTGTCGCCGAAGAAATGCCTCTTCACTGGTCGCTTCTTCACCGATTCCGATCGATCCTTCGTCTTGTCTGGTAGGGACAGTCAGGCTGCATAAAGCTGTGTCAACTTGACATATTTTGCTTGGTAGCCGCATGCACTTACTCGTCATTCTTTAGGCCCACTCGCTCACTTTGCTTGCCACACCACAAACACGCCTGACAACATTCTGAGGGGCCTGTAATAGTTGCTGCGTTAAAGAGGTAATCACTTTTTCCAATTATTCGTCCATACCTTCGCAACCGATTGACTGATCTGTAAGCTATCTATCCACTTGATCACCTATCATCAGTTGGCCCTAGCAACAATCGGCTTGTTCTATAGTCTGGCTGTTGTGTTATGTGCTTCACATCCACTTGGAGACTGTATCCGTTATGCGGCAGGTTATGCACAGTCAAACTTCTGCTCTTATAATACAATTTACTATTTTCAATAAATTATTCTGTTTTGTAAGCCACTTCCACTAATAACATCTATGTCGTATTGCTGTTTATATGGCTTAGTCAAGGTGAAGAATTATGAATGTATTTACTTTCATTAAAGTAGTCACATAAAGTTTAGAAGAGAAAACTGAGTGATTTTTCATGTTTTGAGTGGATGTTGACGACAAAAGTAAATGCTGCATTCATTGTCAATTCGAGACTTTATCTGTTATGTGACAGGTTCTGCTCTAACTATGCAATTTACTATTTTGAGTAAATTATTTCTATTTTGTGAGCCAATTCAACTAATCACATCTATTCGGTATTGCTGTTTTTTATGGCTTAGTCAAGGTGAAGAATTATCAATTTATTTACTTTCATTAAAGTAGTCACATAAAGTGTAGATGAGAAAACTGTGTGATTTTTCATGCTTCGGTTGGATGTTGACGACGAAAGTAAATTCGGCATTCATTGTCACTTGGAGACTGTATCCGTTATGCGGCAGGTTCTGCTCTAACTATACAATTTACTATTTTCAGTAAATTATTTTATTTTGTGAGCCAATTCAACTAATGACATCTATGCCATATTGCTGTTTATATGGCAGCCAATTTTCTGTTCAACGATTGTGGCAACTCCCAGTTCCGTATCTTCACAACTCACTCTTACATCGCATAACCAGTTTTCTTATTTTCATCAATCTGTACCTTAGTTTATTGCAATATCTCCAAAGTGTGAGTCTAGTAGGCTGACTAAGCTGCCGGCGAAATGTCAGGGAATGTAAAATATTTGTAGTTGAATACATGAAATATTCATGTCTACCATTTCATAGGATATAGAACTGGCCATCTTCTTCGAAGTCTGGCTGACGTCAAAGCCAACTTGCGAAAAACTAGTCAAAAGAAATGTAATCTTAACACGAAAAGAAGTTCACGCAGTTCTAGTATCCATGATACTTTCCACCATGAGACCGCTGAAATGGAAATTAGCATGACTTCTATTGCTTCTTCGAGGTTTGGCTGAGGTCAGGGCCAAATTGTGAGAAAGAGGTCAACCAAATGTATCTATGATGTGACAGAGAGATCTCTAGCTTATTATCGATGATAATTTCAAGCATCGGAATATTGACTTGGAAATTAACATGACTTCTGTTGCAGATGATACAGGACGAGATCTATTCCTGAAGGCTTCCGATGACGATAGACGCATGGATGGGATGGATGAAGAATTACCATTTTATTTACTTACACTAAAGTAGTCACTTAAAGTTGAGAAGAGAAAACTGAGTGATTTTTTGTGCTTTTAGTGGATGTTTACGATGAAAGTAAATGCGGCATTCATTGTTTCTTGGAGACTGTATCCGTTATGCGGCAGGTTCTGCTCTAACTATACAATTTGCTATTTTCAGTAAATTATTTTATTTTCTGAGCCAATTCAACTAATAACATCTATGCTTTATTAGTGTTTATATGGTTTAGTCAAGGTAAAGAATTATCAATTTATTTACTTTCATTAAAGTAGTCACATAAAGTTTAGAAAAGAAAATGAGTGATTTTATGCTGTGGGTGGATGTTGACGACGAAAGTAAATTCGGCATTCATTGTCACTTTGAGACTGTATCCGTTATGCGGCAGGTTCTGCTCTAACTATACAATTTACTATTTTGAGTAAATTATTTCTATTTTGTGAGCCAATTCAACTAATCACATCTATTCGGTATTGCTGTTTTTTTATGGCTTAGTCAAGGTGAAGAATTATCAATTTATTTACTTTCATTAAAATAGTCACATAAAGTTTAGATGAGAAAACTGAGTGATTTTTCATGCTTTGAGTGGATGTTGACGACGAAAGTAAATGCCGCATTCATTGTCATGAGCAACGCAGAATGCGGCACTACTTAAACAATTGAAGAGAGGCATAGAGCACTTATTGTGTAAATTACTTCGCCTCTGCGATGAAAATTAATTATGCCAATTCGGTGCGTAGACAAGCGTGTTGGCTACTGTACAGAATTGCAAATGATTTGCCCCTTTTCTCGCAATCGCCCTACTTGAATGGCTGTTTCAGACACCGGTGCCCCGGAGACCAATCAGCCGGTGCAGGTCAGTCATGTGGAATTCACTTCATCACGCAAAGGTCATGCACCGGTAGACAAGAGTTGGTTGCATCACATGATGTTTGCTGAAATAAAGTGAAGCCAAGGGAACTCGAAAATCTGCGAATGTACAAATGCCATCATCTCTGTCGGAACAATCATGAAACAAGTCATAATAATGGCAAAAATGAAGAGATCAAGCATCACAAATGCCTAATTTATGCGTATTTTACTCTTGATAGTCCTCAATCTGCTCACTTATGCCAAAGCGTAATTAATAAAAGTTACATTTATATTGAATAAGTCGTTAAGCAAGATGTAAGGTTTTCTGGGCTATCTCCCAACATTCTGCTTATGCATACATCGCATGCAGATCAGGTAATAAATATGTCATTTTTCTTTTAAGTACCAAGGTCTGTGTATGCTGGTGCAAATTTTTTTTATGCCAGTAAATTATTTTAAAGCCTTTGACACTTATGCCTATTTTAGTTTTTTTATTCATGCAGGAATTATGTTGTATTTATAATATTATTATTTTGAAATAGTATATTAACCAATTCTTTAATTAAAAAATATTCGTGGCTTTTATAATCATTTTATTCCGTTTTGTATGTGTTATATTATAATGATTAGTCTTAATAGTGTTCAATAAAAGCTGTGTTTTTTTATAAATATTCTCATGTTTGCCTTTTCTTGTTGTTGGTAAGAGCACGGCAAATCTCATATTTACATTAAATTTGGCTTTGAGCACTCTCGGTACCAACACTTTGCGGAGGGAGTCTTAGAGACCGTCAAATGTGGTATTAAGGAAAACTAGCAATGGGGTTAAAAAGTCCTTTATGTGCACATTGAGACAAGAATACCCAATATTTTTATTTCAATAAATGGTTAAATTTCTCCCATTTAACGAGAATATGGAGGTCAATAGATTTATAACATGATCGTCTTGGATGGGCTCTGATTCGGCTTCTCTGAGTTGTATCCTGGAAAAATATAAGTGAATAAGATGAAGGCCCATTTAGTGTCCATATTTAGTAAGTGATTAGAAATACTCGAATCTATTCTGGAATTAAGTTTGCTCGCAAGCTTTGCTAGACAAAGAGATACTCGTGTGTTATTCTAATGGATATGCCAACTTTGTGTAGGTATTTTTAAACTCACATTTTGTGAATTATTTGAGGTACATCCTTATACTTTAAAAGAATTTAATATAAAGATAGAGGGAATCTATACTAATTTTTTGGCTAATCCGTTTTGATTCATACCATACTTAAAATTTGAGTAAATATTCAAAAATGTTTATTATAAGTTTGAAGAATAATCTTTTCTTCCTGCTATTTAATCGCATTGGTCAGATATTTTC